CTACCTAAGGATTTATGATGTGCTGTATGGTGAAGTGTAGTGTAAGGACATCAGCTTCAGTTTGCTCAAATGACAGAACAGCCTGGGCACTGTTTCAGGCTAAAATTATCCATACAACCCATATAATTTCCCTCCGTGCAGACACTTCCCAAGGATCACTTTTACAAGGATCATGGGATTTCCTATCTTGAAATATGTCTTATGCTAACAAGCAATAGAGTAGTTTGATTTTCCTTCCAAGTAATTCTAGCAGACCTATTGCTGCAACTCTGTCAAGATTTGGTTAGTAATATAGGTTGACTCCAGCTTGGTGGTTTGTCCTTCAGGAACTGACTTGATTAGTTCTCACTGAGTTGATGTGAAAGCTTGAGTTCAGGATGAATACATCAGATCTACTTCTTTCTCCTTGCTCTTGTCACTGGTACTAAACTTGCTGATAGATTATACCTCTTAATTTGGCTTGATAATTTATTGTGACTTCGCTTTCAAAACAATTTTTTCTCCAGATTCCCATAAACATACAAGTAGAAAATACTGACACTATTTGTATTAACATATAAAAACATAAATGTGGGTGTAAACAAATAACATTCTCTTATTTTGAGATATTAGTTTTGGAATGTCTCTGATTGACTTTAAAGGTAGGAATTGTTTGGTTTAAGTCATCTAAGCAGTAAATCATAGGAACAGATGCAGCTATGATGGAGATTATATGGAAAAATCCTTTACCATAGGATAGAAAGGAGAAATGTCTAATGCTTATATGCTCACATACTCTCTTCCTCATCAGTGGTGAAACTTGTGTGCATTAGAAAGGGGTTTTGGTGTTTATAATTGAGTTTCTCCTAATCACAGCTGACTGGAAAAAGATCACATGCCTAATAAAATATCTTCAAAAAAAGATTCGCTAAGAAAAAACCCTCATTTCTGTTCTTCCTTCTATTCTTTTTATATAAATTCTACAAAGATAATTAAAATTTTCAATTCACTAGTGATCACAAAGTACAACTTGTCTTATAAAAAAGGTTATGTGATCAAAAATAAGTTCAAAAGAAAAATTCTGCAACTGTGTTTAACCTAAGATCCATGTCTACAAATAAATTACCATTAAGTTCTGTAATATGTTACACAAACCCCCTACAAACAAACAAAACCCAAATAAAATATTCAAATGGATGAAGCCCCCACAATAGCAGTAATAATGGGTTAAGAAGCATAATTTGAATTTGTATTTTAAGCAGTCAGTGTGCCTGCAGTGGAGAAGAGGAAAGAGGGAAAATCAAATAGAAAACCTTTGGTGATAAGATCCACCTCTCAGCCCTCTTGTCTTCAACAGAGTTTTCCAGTCCCTTCCATATTCCTTATCTTTTTAGGCTGGGAAAATGCTGCCATCTTGTTATGTACTGACTCACCAGCTACTTTGCCCATAGTTCTTCAAAAGAACAAAAGGGATGGCTACAGATCTTGACAAAGCCTTCTGGAACTTCATGTCTTTCAGATTTCAGTCTCTCTATAAACAAACTTGGTTATAGTTGGCCAGTGGATTTAAGAGTTACTGGGAGCTGGAGGTGACAGGTTGGCATGTGGAAAGCAATGTAATTGCATACCTTTTATCCCAAGAAAAAAACATGCTGAACAAAAACAAGGTACAAATAAATAGGGAAGGAATGTGTCTTGAATCAAGCTCAGCTGTAACAAAATTGTCAGTTATCTATCACCTGCACCTTCTTTAGAAGTTTGCTAACCAGTCCATTTTCAATCTCCTTGGAAGTGAAAGATAAACTTTTGCCACTTTTTAGGAATGGTAATGAAACACCACCATTTTTTCCCCCCAGCTGAATCAGTTTATCTAGACTACGAAAGCTTAAACACCAAGAGCATACTGCCAGCAAAGGCAGAGAAAAAAAATCTGCTTACTTTCTGATAGGATAATGAGAATGCAGCAGCGGAGGTGTGTATTTCAAAATCACAGCAAGCTGTGCTTTATCCAGAATGGTACCAGAGCATTTGACACATGTGCTGTAACCACATGGAAACCATGGCAATGGAGGAAAATTGTAGGAGGGAGGTTGTACAGTATGGCAGGGAAAAAATCCTTGGCAAAACCAGGAAAATAAATTTGTATTATGTAAAGGAGATATGACATAGTTGTGCTGTTCAAAGGTTATTCCTTATATAAAAAGAAACATTGGTAATAACGAAAATACTTTCTTAGAAGAGTAGGCGCATGAGCAATGGTAGGTAGGTAGGTGGGAGGAACAGCGTGGGCTGTGAGACCAATATTAGACTTAAAGGAGTCAGAGAGGAAAAGTCCCAAAAGATGAAAAATCCCTTCAAAAACGACAGTGAAAGCAAAAGAGAACATGTTTTTAAGCTGTTTGCTCTGCCAGAGATGAAAGTGCAGCCAACTAGAGACTGCATACAACAAACTGAGAAAAGGACTAGCGAAAAAGAAATGTATCAGGAAGATCCCTGAGAATTACTGCTGTAGAAACACTGCTTTCACAGTGTGCTTTGTTCTTCACGGGCAGAAAAAACCCATAATTAAAGGAGTGAAATACCACTCAGCTTTAGGATGCTAATAACACCCTTCGAGGTCAACTAGAAGGTCCACTAGTGACAGTAAAAGGCTGCCTGCTGCCTAGAGCAGCCTTTGGCTCATTTCCACAAAGCTCTTATTCAGGTGCAAATTGAACCCAAGTCAACGGCAAGCCAAGGAAATAACTTGTTATCACACATCACACAATTGCTTGATGACCTATATTCAGTGAGTTAGGGGCCCTAGTTTAGTCTCTGTCCAACACACCTGCAAAATTCTAACACAACTCTTGGAGTAATCAGGGTAGCTATGGGATGAAAAACGAATGCCATTGTGAAGGTCAAGTCACACTATTAAGAAAGTATGAAGAAATCTGCAAAGACCTAGCTTAACAGAAGACTTCAATTCCCAGACCAAGCACTCAGCTGCTTCTCACAAAACCCCCAGAAATTATCATGTTCAGCAGAAAGTTATGAAAGCGCTGCATAATTATGTATTGTACAAATTGTCTCTGAAAGTGAAAAGTTTCTCAGGAACAGATATTTCTTTAAAATATCAGCATAGATTAAAATAAATATTTCTATTTCATCCCAGTTTATGCTGAAAAGGCATTGAAAAAGAAAAGTTATTTCATGCTTTCTCCTCTTTTTTGTTTTACCATTTACCATTTTCCCTTCTTTCTTCTACCCTATGATTTACATCCTACTTCTGCACAGCTCCTAAACTTACATGAATTTTACAGAGTATACCTTAAAATTAGGCACACTCCTAAAAGCTTTCCCAAATAGGAAGGGATTTAAAAACATGGGAAATTAAGTATTTATACAAGCACTTTGCTGAATGATAATGACTTTAAAGCTAAAAGCTTCTGCTGCCTGACACCTCTGGTCTGACATCTTCCATGAGTGAACAGTGACATACAGGTCTTTTGATTTTTCATAAATCTATATTTTTTGCAAATCTTATATCTACAGAGAACAGAAATGACCAAGAGCAAATACACTCATTGTGATGCACTGTGCTTCACATATACTATAGAACTCTGGGAAGCATGCTTCTAAAAACTCAAAAAGAATAAACTCTGTGCCTGAAAATGTGTCCATGCATGCAGCACGGCTGGATGGAGTTTGTGGTGGTAAATAACATTCACGTTCACCTTGCAGAGGTTGCAATAACTGATCTCACAGAAGAATTTTGGCTCAGGAAAGGATATGGTAAAGTCTTCTGGATGATGAAAGGAATTGCTACATCCCTAGAGCAAAAGCCAGCTAGATTATGAAAATCCCTGCAGAAAATGTGATTGCTTTCTCCTTTGGACACTAATGGAAAGACAGAGAAGAAGCAATCCCAGGCTTCCCTTGAGACAAAGTCAGGCAGGCTGCTATGGGGAGCTGCAGTAAGCTTGCTTTTTTGTGCTGGTCTATTCACCACTGATGTCAAGAGCATGACATTCTTAACAAGGATCAAACAGTTTTCTCTCAAATCTGTTTCTCAGATAAGGTCTCTGGGAAAAAAATGAGGTAGAGGAGGACAAGGAAGGAGAAGAAATTAATGAGGGAAATGAAGAAGGAGTCTTTTGTCACTGATCATGGATACTAGAAGAGATAAGAAATCCTTTTTATATTCCCCCCATTTTAGAGCTGTAGCCTTAGGCAAGTTATACTAAAATTGGTTTATTTTTGGTCCAGTGAACTGTGATTCACTTTATAGCTAAGGATTTTGAAAAAGACAGAAACAATTGTTGATTTTAAATCCACACTATTTTATTTTATGGATATAATTTATTTTCTTGCTTTAAGGGACCTTTCCATTTTAGAATAAAAATAAAATGTTAATACAAAATTGTCCATTTGTGCAATTTTCCTGACAATTTGGGTGGATTTTTTAAAAGGTCCAAATAAAAGAAAAACAAATAGTGACATTTAAAAAAACCACAAACTCATGATTCCTTTTGGCTAAAGCCTCCATAAACTATTTTAAAAAGATCAATTTTTTGGTTCTCCACAAAATACAGTGCAATTCTGAGTGGAAAACATTGGTTTGTCTACTTTCAGATCGTCTTTGTTCTTTTTAATTAAGTGTCAAATTCTCTCTGGAGCTGCGAAGACTATCTTAAGGCTAATTTCACATATTGAGGAGATATAAATACAGAGGCCAAAGATGTATTTTAGCAAAGCATTCAAAGAACACACCTACTGCACATACCAGGATGCTCACTTAACACTAACAGGCTAAAATCCTTCACAAATTCATAGTGCAGGTTCGTTTTCAGAATAATGTTGAAATACACTCCTAGATTTGCTCTTGCTCAGAAAAAAAGCCATGCAAAAATTAGCATGACTGAACACGCTTGTTCAAATATGTTCCCGAACTGGTAGCTAGAAGCAAAGAGAAACAAACATAGAAAAGACAGAAAATGTAAAGAAGAAGAAACAAACATAGAAAATGTATGTCTTAATGGAGAGTGGTGAGCTCGGTAAGGGATGGCTGGGTGGCCTTGAGATAACTCTCCCTCCGTGCAGCAATCTTTGGAGATGGCTTCGGGCTTGTGTCTGAGTCTCCGCTGTCATCGTCCCCCATGGCTTTGATGTAGCTGCCACTGCGCATCCGGCGGCAGGGGATCTCGTCATCTTTTCCTCGTGGAGTGTAGCCACTCCACTCATCTTGAGGAACCTGAAGTGATAAACACAGTTCTCTTGTTATTACACTCCTCCCCGATGTTGCTGGTAAGCCACAACAGAGCCATAACAAAAATCTGATGGCCAAAGGCCCTTTCTTTGTCTCATTTGACCATGGGTTGCTGCTGCAATGGAGGCACCCACTTCTCACCCTGCATAGTCACAAACACCTCTGGAATTCTTTGCTATTTTCCATTATTTATCTGGGAAGTTTCTAGCAAACATGGTGATGTAGAAGGCTTGGTAAAGTTTAATACTGGGCTGGAAAATTTTTTTTTTTTTTTTTCAGGTATTTTCATTCAAAGCCTTTATAAACCAGATCAGTGTATTTTTGGTTCAGCTCAACACATTGAACAGCTTTGGGGAGGCACAAAAGCTGAAATATGAATCCCCATATGACAATCTTTCCTGACTGTGTACAGAAACACTAACCAGGATGATTTTGGCTCAAGATACATTTCAAATTAGTGGAACTATGCACTAATCATCACAAAAGTAGGTTTGAAAGTGTGAAATTTTACTACTCTTGCTTCTATAGCTTAATTGATGCAACTGTACACCTGCAGCTTGCAGTGAGCCTCCCTTTGATTTCCATTAGTCTGAGTGTCTTAGTCCTACAACCCTTTATTCCCTTCTTTTTCATCTTCTTCTTAATGATGTGCATTATTTCTCTTGATCTGGAGTCAGTGCTGTGCCTTTTTTGTACTGGAAATCTGGAACTGTGGGAATGTGCATTCGTGAGATTTTGAGACGTAACAAAGGACAGTCCAAGAGCAGAGTGCTCTAGCCCACCCAGTCTCCCTTCCTCTGCTCCTGGGGCTTCTGAGCACGTAAACCAGCATCCTTCTCTTTCCTATAACTGCAGAAACAACATGCAGTGGAGCAGGGTCTTTGAAGCTATTCTGCAGAAACACCATTTTAATCTAAAGGTGAACCCACAAAAGGGTTTTTTAGTTAAACAAATGTTGTGCTAGACTTAAATACAAGTAGTTGTGAAATTTTAGTTAGCTCCTTCTCTGATTCTTCTTAGTGAATCAACTCTATAAACTAGCCATAGCCATAATGCTCAGAAAACCTTACAAGCCACATTAAATAAGGAGGCATGAATCTGGGTTCTTAAATTTATCTTGCAACTTACAAATACTGTCACCTACCAGAATAATCTTTTCTATGAGAAGTTTGTTCTTCATCAACATTTACCTTCAGCTGAGGATCTTGTGAATCCCATTGCACCGTTCAGCTAGAACATATATGTGCCAGTTCGTTTAAACAACAAAAACTAAAAGATTGGAATGCTTGCTAACAGCTTAGCTGTTGATTCCCACTGCAAACAAGTTTAAGTCCAGAGGCTGTAAGGCCTTTCAAATGTTACTGAGGATACAAATAAATTTTTATGGCCGTTTTATGGCCTTTTATCAATCTATATTGCTATAAACTTCAACCATAAATCCACTGTGCTATACAAAGGAACAAAGATATTTAATGGTCCTAAGCCCATATAGGCTTATTACTACTTATAATTAATTAATTATATTAGTTTATTAATTAAGCTATTTACAGCCTATGTCTTTGCTTTTTTCCTGATGATTTCAAAATCCAAGACCTTGCCAAGCTACTTCCTTCATTGATTTTTCTTTTCCTGCTTCTGACATAATGATTTAGGGCCTTTCTTAAGCTGCCAGGCTCAAAGAGTCCTTCTTTCCTCTTGCGTTCTGTGCTCCCCATTCTCTCTTGCCCAAGTCCAGCCTTGAAACCCACTTGGACCTTCAGTATTTTCCTCAAAGGACTGAAGATTTAATCCTGGAGATCTACTCTAGATTACACCTTTATCAATATTCTTTTTTAAGACCCAGTCTTCCTTCTCAGGACTTAGTTGCTCTCAATTGTTCATGTTTTATTTAAATAATTCTTTACTTGTGCCTTTTTAAGGTAAATTTCCATGTTATCTTTAAATTAATATCCTTAAATTAATGGCTCTACAATTCTTATTTTCCATCAGCATGCAAAGTTTGTTCTTGTGGGTTTGGGGGGTTTTGTGTGTGTATGTGTGTCTGTTTTTGTTTGTTTGCTCTGTTTATTTTAAATTTTATTTTCCTGGGCTCCAAGAATCTAAGTTCCTTAAGGCAGGAATATAGTTCTAAGTCCAATTTTCTTACTGAATAATGACATGCAGAACTGTGCATCTATAGGATATTATTGAATAAATACTCATAAAACACTTGAAATATTCTTCTAGGAAAGGGCAAAGCTTTAAGTAAGACTAAGAGTACCAAGTATTAACAGAATCTACTGGAAGAACAGGATTGAACAACTCTAATATTTTTCCACATTAAAAAACAACAACAAAAAAAAAACAAACAAAAAAAGCAAAAAAACAACCAAACAAAACCAAACCAAAACAAAAAAACCCCCAACCCCCCAAAAAATCAACAAACCCCCCCCAGTATTTCCATTCTGTTGGAAAGCTGATGCTTTCAAAATGAAAGTAACACTCAGTATTTGATTTTTGATGTAGAAGAGTAGGGAGCATTTACATTCCTCCCCTAGCCACTTATGACAGAGTATGATATTTTTTCAGGTTTTACTCTTGCATTAGTTCTAGGCCTAGAACATCATCAAACAGTGAGTATACAATCTATATTCATACCACCTCTCACACCTACACCTTCTGCTTGTCAGTGTAAAACCTTGACTTTGCAAATCACTCATACAAAAAAGAATTTAAGACAGGTTTAGTAAAATCGAGCTCTGCTGACATTTTTATGCCATACTGAGACCTCAGTCAGCAGTTTAAAACCTGTAATGGTGTATGACCAATCAGTTTTTAGGCAGCTACTAGATATCAAAGTATGTAGAGAATCTGTGAATTCTCAGAGGATATGCACTTTGATCTGTTTAGTATTTTATTAATTATGCTTTAATTGAAGATTTTTGCTTTTTCTCATTAAGATTAATTAGTGAATTAATCTTCAATGCACTAAATAAACTATGTTAGTATATTGTTAAGGTTGGGGTCTTTAACGGGGAAAAGGTCAGGGGAGATAAAGTTACAATGTTCATGCAGCACCTATAATTCAGGCAAGCTGAACACTTGTAGTTTTATTACATAATAGATACACTGTTACATTTAATGCTATAGTTTATAGGTACAATACAGGTGAGGAGATATAGTTACTGTGGAAACCCTTACTTTGGAATGATTGAGTTTTGTTATCAATAACCCCACATATAAGACTGTTTATCCCAAAGCTTCTCAAAGTTATTTAGATACAATAGGCCAGGTTAGGAATGCTGGTTGCAAAGGATTTACCCCAAAACTTTCTATTTGCACATGCAAACACTGTGTATCATGATGAGGTTTGAATGCATTGCTCTAGTCCCTCAATTTGTATGACGTGATTGGAAGTTTCCAGTTTGAGCTCTGCTCCTGTCAGTGAAGGGAGCAATCACTGAAAAACAGCCACTATGTTTTTAGTAGCTTTTCCACTTTTAAAAATAACAGTATTTGCAGAGAAAGAAAGCTGAGCTGTTCACACAGAGACCAGGGCAAAGCAGCCTCAGTGAGTGGCACAAACCTGCTGGCTGGTTTGGGCTTTGGAAGTCACCTGCATGTGCAAAACCAAAGGAAATAACACAAAAGTGACCCAACTTCCATTTTGATATTATGGGTTTAAGGGTAAACCCTGTACGTGCCAAAGAGAAAAGGATGGCTGTGGTTAAAAAGCCATCCAGATTTAGAGAACGGGCTAAAATACCAACCCAGATATGCTTCTAATTTCATGGAACACACTGAGTGTTTGTACAGACTACTTTATCTGCCTAGACAAAGTTGCAATACAAGAATGTAATGGGTATTTGATTAAAAAGCTATTTTAGTTAAAGTTTGACCATGGAGTTATTTTGTGCAGGTATTTAAGTCTGGTTTGTTTTTTTTTTTCTAAATATTGTTTTTACTCTTTTTTTAGTGTTTGTTTGTTTACAGTAAAATCTCAGTATATAATTGATTTTGTAGATGAAAATTTGGGTCCAGCTCCCCTTTATCTTATTTTTTCTTATTTCTTATATCACATTCACAAGGGCAAGAAACCCTGATTTCAGAATTTGGTGTAGGAGAAAAATGTAAGGCATCATGTAACTGATAAAGAGCATATGCCGGATAAAGAAACACTTTAGAATTTCTGCCTTGGCTATTAACTATTGTAATACTTTTTAAGAAAGTCTCTCTGTGTCTTACTTGAATAGGACAAACAAGCCTTAAAGCTCAGCATTTTCTTTCATTTCAGGCAGATAAAATAATGTCAACATTTTAATACTGCTGTGCCTATAGTCAAATACCTCAAGCAATACCTACTAAAAGAAGTGACCTGATTTTCAGAGTGCTTTTTTGGTGCCTAAAAAGTATTGGCTGTAACAGCTCATGCAGGCAAGTGCAGTTCACTGTCACAACAAAGTGCTTTATATGAGAAAAAAGTAAAACATAAAGCCTTCTCCAAAATGCAAACTGCAAAAATAAGATCAATCAGATTATTTCATGCATTCTGTTTCTACACATATGGTACTACACATCCTGTAGTGTGATTCTTTCTGTTGATCTGGAAAAAATGCTGGGAGAAATGTCTATGTGAACCTCCAGATCTCTTATTTTTTTCAGTCAGGGGGTCTGCACAAATGTTCCCACAGGCTCTTACTTTATTTGAATGGCCAATATTATGCCTTGCAAGGTCACATACTACACTGCATACAAGTGCAAATGCACAGTATCTTCTGATTTAGAGGATTAATGGGATTAAGATTGACATACTTGAGATAAAGCTGTTTCATGCTTTTAAGAAAATCATATTATCCAATTACCTTGGCAATACAATTTTTCCAGTATCAGAATATCAAGAGGGAACATAATTTGCATGATTGTTTTAACTCTCATGAAAAAGGGGAAAGAGCTAAACTCAGATCAAACAATGAACATTGTTTTTATTAAAATAAAACCATTATTAT